AAAATCAAAATTGATTTTAGTTTTTTCAAGATTATTAAATTTAAGAAACGCTCATCAATATTCATCAGGTTAACTGAAAAGTCCAGGTATGTTATGGAGGACGCGAAGTGACATAATTTAATCTCTAATAAACGAAAGTGAGTGAAAGCTATTCTTTAAATTTTTATGCAAGTTAATATTTAAATTAATTTAGTCTGGGATTAGTTTGATATATATTTTGTGTTATATACTTTGTGTTATATATTTTGTGGTATATATTTCAGATAAGATGAGGTTATGAATGTAAGCGTTTTCTTTTAATTTTTTATTATTTACATCTCAGTTAACCTGATGAATATTTACGAGCAATTCTTGAATTTAATAATCTTGAAAAACCAATTCCGTTTTTGCACTTGTATAGGAATAGTTGTTGCAAAATAAAATTCTTGCATTTGCCTTGATAGAGTCAATTAGAAGACGTAAAGCAGCAGCTTAGTTAAGTTTTGCTTTTGTTTTTGATCATATTGTACTTTTACAGATGTATTCGATCCGAAATTTGGCACACCCTCCTATATACACAAATTCCAATGGCACGGAAGGAACGTCCGTGACGCGCGCGTGTTTGTGTTTGTGTATAAGGAAAATTACTAATTAGAAAATAATTTTTGCATCGATGCATTTTGTTCTTTAAGAATTTATTGGACTGAAGCGATGTTTCTGCTGATCTAATTACACATCTGCACGAAGGGGAGGATATGCTAACATTTTAAATTATCATTTTTATAGATGTGTTTGAACATATAGTCTTGCCAATTTTGTATAGATTGTTTTTATTCATTTATTGATCAATTTTGTTAAGTATTCCACAATGTGATAATCTACCAAGAAAGAAAATATAATTTAAATTTAAAAATTTAAACTCTCAGCGTCACTTTTCTGCGTGCACATGTGTAGTTACATCAAGTGAAACATTACTTACACCAGATGAAGTTTGAAAGGTCGAAACATTTCAAAATTCTTTTCCTCTCTGTTATTAATTTTTTCTAGAATTTTCTAGGTTATAAAAATTATAATTCATCTCTCATATATATATATATATATATATATATATATATATATATATATATATATATATATATAGGTTATAGAGGTATAGTGGTATATTAAAAGAAATACATAAACGTTTTTTGGATGTAATTTGGATTTTTTTTCATTATTTTTTATTTTCCATAATGTTAAAATTATGGAAAATAAAATATATATATATATATATATATATATATATATATATATATTATTATGTATTATAATCCTTAATTTTACCGTTATGGAAAATAAAGCATAATATTTAAAAAAAATCCAAATTACAACCAAAACGTTTGCGGTATTTCTTCTTATATATATATATATATATATATATATATATATATATAATGAATGGAATAAGTCCGACAATTATTTGAATATATTATATTGTTATATGTTATTTTATATTAAATAACGTATAAAAATAAGTTATATTAAAATAATTATCGGACTTCGTCCATTTCATAATATTATATGTCATCATTTTTTTTACGCTGAGTTAAGCTTCGAGCAGATATGAACCTTCGAGGGAAACCTTGGGAAATTGTAGTTTAAAACCAGTAATTCGATCTTGCTAACCAGACGTTACCTTCATAGCTAAATTGGTATAGCACGTTAGGCTATATGACGCTTCCGTGTAACATACAGCTTCGATTCCTCTTGAAGGACGCATATTTTCTATGAAATTACTCGTACATTTTGGCCGGTAAATGTTGTTAATACTACTTATTATAAACAGAGCAATGACGTAAATATCTGTCTATATATCTATATATTTATATATATATATATAAATGGATAAAAATATAAAAAACATATGTTATCCAATATATATATATATATATATATATATATATATATATAAATTGGATGAGGAATATGTTTTTGTATATTTTTTAGCCATTTAATAGACACGTAGTTGCATAATAAAATTTTTGAGGAAATGGCAAAATGTTCTCATGAGCCGGTAACTATTGCAGCAAGCACTGTTTAGTTTAGTGTTTCTTTCAAAAACTGTGCTCCTCCATGTCAAAAAAATTTATAAAAATAATACAAAACACATTTTTGTCATCCAATTTTAATAAAGAGCTTCCGTGGATATTAAATATCAATCTATGTATAAATATATATATAATTAATGTGTTACAGAAATATTGCTAAGCACACACACACACACAGATAAAGATATTTCTTTCCTACTATCAACCTAACATTATTTTAATTTTTTTCTGCTGATGATGGCCACGTTGGCCGAAACTAGTCGAGGAATCTAAATGAAATAATAATAATAATAATAATAATAATAATAATAATATACAACCCAGTGTGTCTGAACATTTTAATTTTTTAATATTTACGGAAAACTTTTCATTAACATCTCATTTCTTCCCCTGTGGGAATTTATCAAGCTTATGTAAAGATATTATTTTGCAACATGTTCATAAAGTTATGTAAAATGGCGGAAAAATATCGCTTCGTATTCCAAGTTTCAAATTTAACATCACTTTAAACTATTCTTTAAGATAAATTAAGTAAGGAAAGGTAAACTATGGAAGACGCTGAGTAAGGGAATACAATGCGTAACTATAATTTGGCTTCATTTATATAGTCTTTTTATAGTTATATTTTTTATTCTCCCCACACGCACACACATTTTCACACACAGGCGCATATATATATATATATATATATATATATATATATATATATATATATATATAGTGTGTAACCGGATATGAGAGAGTTGTCGGGACCGAGAAGAAGCCTCTTATATCCGGGTTTCTCTTTATATCCGAGTTTTTTTATATCCGGGTTTGGTCTAATTTATATACATTAACACAGGCTCTAATTTGGGACTAGAGAAAATCTCTCTTATATCCGGGTTTCTCTTATATCCGGGTCTCTTATATCCGGGTTACACTGTATATACGCATATATATATATATATATATATATATATATATATATATATATATATATTGATGCATGTTCCATTAATATAATTTAGACAAATTCTATCTGTTTATTTTAAGTAAATTCTTTTCATATTTCCTGATAAGCTTAATAACGTGATTATTGAAAGATGAAAGAAAATCACCATATTGATACGTGATTTTTTAATTCTATCTAAGCTTTCGGCTTACATAAGCCATTATCAAAGATGACAATTACATTTCAATATATTAAACAATACACGGACAAAACAATAATGATAGTCTGTTTTTGTTGCCTGTAAGATTTCCAAGCAACGACAAACTCGTGTATACGAGACGCGGAAGCGAAAAACTCACACCAGCTCGTGACGTCACGCATGACCACGCGAGAGGAAAAACGAGAAGTATTAAGTATGGAGAGCCGTTGGTCTATATTATTTAATGAAACATGCATCAATGAAAAAATGTTGCCTAAATATATATATATGTGTGTGTGTGTGTTTGTGTGTATGTGAGTGTGTGTGCCTGCGTGTGTGTGTGTGTGTGTAAATTATTTTCAGATAGAGTGTATCTGTGTAGGAAGAAAATGAATAGAAAGACAAGAGGAAAAACTATTCTTAATCGTTTATTTTGTTCCACGTGTTTTTGACAACTCTTCTTTTGGATATAAACTCGTGCAACATCATAAAGACTTACATTTTACATAAATTCCTTCGGTGTGTGGGGATTGAAACGAGTCGGTCAAGAATAATTTTTCCTCTTGCTTTTTATTAACACACGCACGCGCACGCGCACAAACACACACACAGAATGCGATTGATAAATTGTCGTCTAAATTACGCAAAAATGAAAATAGCACTGACATCTAATTTTCACGGATATTATTTACCAGAATTACACTAAAAACATATCTTGAAATACTAAAGAGTACACTGATTCAATAAAATCATCATTGGCTTCAACCATGGCCTCTAGATGACTTCAGAATCTCCTGGAAGTTCTACTTGTTTAAGTTGATGAATGCTTGTCTTCACTTCATCTTTCGTGTTACAAGGAGTTCGTTTCTCGATCAACTGTGCCCCACACATAATAATCTAGGCGGTTGCAATCTCGGGAGTTAGGAGACCAGATGTAAGAGCTATTACAGTCGCAGAAATTGTCTGACAGCCATGACGTGTTTCTCCTGCTTGTGTGGCATGGTGCAGAGTCCTTTTGCCAGACATAGGTTCTTCCAGCAGACATCCATTTGACCCAGGGCAGTACTAAGTCTTCCAGGCACTTGATGTAGCCTTCCGTCTTTAGTCTGAGGCCTTGTGGAAAGACGAATGGAGGCATAAGGTTGCCATCACTAGTAATCTCTCCAAATACCTTCGTAATCAGCATTAACCTCAAGTAAGTCTTTTCGAATTCACTGCACTGTCCTCAGATTGATACCAAACACTCTGGAATGTATTGAAGTTTCGACGCGAATGCCAAGCAGTACAGTATGACGTTTCTATTTTTCTGGCGGACTGAATTGCGTCATGGTGCTCTTTTTTCTCACAGACGGTGCCCAACTGACCCTACTATACTGTGCAGTCGACAAAATAAAAATCAACGCGCATGCGCGAAATTAAAAATATAATATGGCGACAATTTCCCCACCGCACCCTGTATATACGCTAAATATCTCATTAATATCTAGGGGGTGTCAAGCTGTTGCTGTATTAATTTTATTTCATTTATTTCCTTTCGTTAGCATGTTTTAATTTTGATAATTTGAAAACGAAATTCTTTCATAATTACAAGAAAATATTTGCTTTGATACAAATTCTAGATTACTCATGTAGAGAATAAAAAAAAAAACAACAGAATTTGAAAAAGTAATTAAACATTGAAGTTTTCTTTACAGCATCGTTAAACTCGTAACAAAATAACTGGGGACTTATAAAGAAATAAACAAAAGAAAGGACAAAAACTTTCAGATAATTTATGAGAGAGGCAGAGATAGCAAGAATGCACTTAAGAAAAAATATTGAAAGAAAGAGAGGAAAGAGAAGGAAGGAAATAGAGAATTATTAAGCGAAGAAAGAATTTAGAAAGAAAAATGTAAGACAGACGGTAAAAGACAGAAATTGTGCAAAAATATAAGAAAGAAAGAAATAACAAAAGAAAGAAAGAAAGAAAGAAAGAATTAACAAAAGAAAGAAAGAAAGGAAGAAAGAAATAACAAAAGAAAGAAAGAAAGAAAGAAATAACAAAAGAAAGAAAGAAATAACAAAAGAAAGAAAGAAATAACAAAAGAAAGAAAGAAAGAAAGAAAGAATTAACAAAAAAAAGAAAGAAATAACAAAAGAAAGAAAGAAAGAAATAACAAAAGAAAGAAAGAAAGAAAGAATTAACAAAAGAAAGAAAGAAATAACAAAAGAAAGAAATAAATAACAAAAGAAAGAAATAACAAAAGAAAGGAAGAAATAGCAAAAGAAAGAAAGAAAGAAAGAAATAACAAAAGAAAGAAAGAAATAGCAAAAAAGGAAGAAAGAAAAACAAAAGAAATAACAAAAAGAAAGAAAGAAAAAAAAGAAAAGAAAAAAAGAAAGAAATAACAAAGAAAAAAAAGAAAAGAAAGAAATAAAAAGAAAGAAAAAAAAAGAAAGAAAAGAAAAAAGAAAGAAAGAAAAAAGAAAGAAAAAAAAAAAGAAAGAAAGAAAGAAAGACAAAAAGAAAGAAATAACAAAAGAAAGAAAGAAAGAAATAAAGAAATAACAAAAGAAAGAAAGAAATAGCAAAAGGAAGAAAGAAAGAAAGAAAGAAATAGCAAAAGAAAGAAAGAAAGAAATAACAAAAGAAAGAAAGAAATAGCAAAAGAAAGAAAGAAAGAAATAACAAAAGAAAGAAAGAAAGAAAGAAATAACAAAATAAAGAAAGAAATAGCAAAAGAAAGAAAGAATAAAAGAAAGAAATAACAAAAGAAAGAAAGAAAGAAAGAAATAACAAAAGAAAGAAAGAAATAGCAAAAGAAAGAAAGAAAAAAAGAAAGAAATAACAAAAGAAAGAAAGAAAGAAAGAAATAACAAAAGAAAGAAAGAAAGAAAGAAAGAAATAACAAAAGAAAGAAAGAAATAGCAAAAGAAAGAAAGAAAGAAAGAAATAGCAAAAAAAAGAAAGAAATAACAAAATAAAGAAAGAAAGAAATAACAAAAGAAAGAAAGAAATAGCAAAAGAAAGAAAGAAAGAAATAACAAAAGAAAGAATGAAAGAAAGAAATAACAAAAGAAAGAAAGAAAGAAAGAAAGAAAGAAAAAAAGAAAGAAAGAAAGAAAAAAAAACACAATCAAGAAGAATTTTTACTTTAGTTGAGATCGAAACATTTTCAGCGAAAATCTGGTTTAAGCCTTGTGCCTGTTCCCCAGACACAAAGAAAATGTGATGGAAACTTTTGCATATGAATAAAAGTTCATAATTAAGAGACACGATGAAAGAGAGAAAAAAGTGGAGAAAAAAAGAAAGAAAAAAGAAAATTTTTACATATACCTAATAAATTTTTGGGTGCCTCGGCGTGGTGTAATGGTTAGCAAGCTGGTCTTGCTAAAAACTGTTCGATCCTCACTGGGTGCCCCATACTTTCGGTCATGTGCCACATCTAAGCCTCGCTTAGAAAATCAATATTCCTAATAAATGTTTTTACTTATGAGATACAATGACGGAAGGAAAGAAATAGTGAAAAAAGAAAGAAAGAACAAAAACAAAGAAAAGAAAATATACTTATAAATAAGACTAGTAAGAAAGAGGGAAAGAAAGAAAGAAAGAAAGAAATGCAGAAAGAAAGAAGGAGAGAAAAAGAAGAAAAAAGAAAATGTAGTAACGAATAAGTGTACGAATAAATAAATGAAGAACGAAAGAAATGTAAAAGAAAGAAACAAATGAAGAAAGAAAGAAAGGAAAAGAAATAAAAAGAAAATGTACTTATAAGTAAGACTAGCAAGAAAGAAAGAAAAAAGAAAGAAAGAAAAATTTGAGAAAAAAGAAAATATAATGAATGAGCGTAGAAATAAATAAATCAAGAATGAAATAAATGACAAAGAAAGAAATGAAGAAAGAGAGAAAGAAAAAAAGAAGAAAGAAAGAAAAAAGAAAATGTAGTAATGAATAAGAGTAGAAACAAAGAAAGAAAGACAGAAAGAAATTAATAAAGAAAAGAATTTGAGAAAATCCATTGTAAAGAAATTGAAGCGAACAGGAAAAGGAAATTATCGTTAACTGCTTTCTTTTCAGCCCATTTTTATCCATTGGGCAGAAAAGAAAGAAAGAAAGAATGAATGAATGAATGAAAGAAAGAAAGAAAAAAAGAAAGAAAGAAAGAAAAATAGAAAATGAATAAAGAAAGAAGGAAAGACAGAATACTGAACAAAAACGATAAAAAAGTTAAAGAACGAACTAAATGAAAAAAGAAAGAAGGAAATGAAGAAAGAAAGGAAGAAAAAATAATGGAAGAAAGAAAGAAAAGAAAAAATGAAAGAAG